GTGGCACAAAACCTGTTCCCCTTTTGTTAGGGCAAGAACATCACTGTGGAGAATTTTATTTGAGATAAGAACTGAAAACCGTCAGAACGGAAGCGATGCAGGAAATACTCTCCTGGGGAGCAATACAAAAAGCACAAAGATACATATTCGCCTCCGTGGAAAACGGAGAGCAGCTTAAGAGATCTTCAGCCAGCTGAAGCAGCTCATTCCAAGATTTGCTACAGACAGAACGAATGGATGACAAGCCAGGAAGCAAGTTTCCGCATCGGTTTTCCTCACTGGGGTTCCAAAGGTTCGAGCGTTCCTGTTACTGGACAGAAAAGATGAAAACGCGACACTTCTTTAGAGTAAGTGGTCGAAAACCCTCCTGAATCACCCCCGAAAGACAAGGAGGTGGTGTTGACCTACCAACTACAAAGCCACCTTTGAGAAGGCTGTAAACTCGCAGTGTGAGTTGTAAGCGTTTGAAGCTCTGGTTCGATGTGTCTTGATCAACACGAAAAATTTGTTCGACCTTTAAGAACCAGTTGAAAAGAATCAAGCATCCCTCCTGGCAACTGGAGCTTAAAAATACTGCGTAGAAGGCACTGTTAAAGCTTGAGGCACGTTTATTCCATAGCAGAGATCTCGGGCACGGCTTGCAATGACATTTCTCAGCACGACGCCCTCATGCATTTCAAGAGTCTCGAAGATGATTCATATTTAATGTGTTTTTGGTACCGCACCAGGAGAAATCCTCCTTTTCCTGTCCCCTGAACAAAGACACTCGGGATTCAAGTAGCAAGCCCAGAGAACGGTTTCTAGCGGTAAAACCAGATCCTTTTCCTCCCTTCTGCTTTCCAGAATAACAGAATTAGAAGCTTGAGACAGCAGCTTAGGTTGCGAACATCGCAGCTCAAAATCCTAGAGTTCCATTAAATTATACTTGCCTGTTTGATATTGAGAGTGGGTAATACCTCTTTTGTCTGGATTAATGAATATGAGATACACATTTATTAACAAATTAATGAAAATCCAATCAGCAACATTCCATTTTAATACTCTTAAAATTGTTCTGCATATCACAAAACAAATTTCCAAATGGAAGAACTAGAAGTCTGCCCCTGCAAGGTCATCGCTGCTAAAGACAGCCCATCCTGCTCCTCCAAAAAAAACGGAGAAGTTAACTGCAGCACCATGTATTTCTCACCTATAATGTGATTTATATGGAAGAAAATTCCACAGCAAACTGTCTGACAGAAAAGCCTCAAGTGAGTTAAATCTCAGCCAGATACTGCCTTACTCTGTTTTGGGAAGCAGAGAACAAACTGTGTTAACTGCAGGAGTAGTAAAACGCTCTCACCACTTTGGATCATTCCCTGTAACGCAATCCCCTCGTTATCGCGAGTAATCACATCCACAATTGACTTCTACACAGTGTTGTAGCAGCATTTCAAATTAGCCCTTCCTTTTAAAAACAAGGGTAAACGAGATTAGGAAACTGAACTATCATTTCCCAAAAAAAGTGAGGCTTTAGAGCAAGTAAGAGCTGACATAAAAATTAAAAAAGAAAAAGAGAAAGACTTACACAAACAAGGAGCACCAGGCTGCCAAAGCCATGTTCCCTCCTCACCCTATCATCTGCAGTGTCAGCTCCTCAAAAACGTGCCTACAGTCTGCTACTAAGGACTTGATATATGCAAAGGAACAGTCAATCTTGGTCTTTTAAAACAGAAATGTAAAATATACATTTATGTTTTCCTGTATAAGCACACAGACCTGCACAGAGCCAAGGCTGGTTTTCCTCTTAAGAAATCAGATCCTGGCCCAGCTAGACTTCTCATTTCTACAAGAGGCTGGGTGACAGGGCTTGAATATGTGGTAGCAACTTTTCAAAGACACTCTAACAATCCTAAAATAATAAAAGAAAACAGTAAAACATGATACACCCTTTTATCTAGAACACGGCACAGTTACGGCAAGAATGCAGCCGAAACACTTGTGTCCTGTTCTCCTGAGAAAGTGGAGAGATTTGGGTGCAGAAGAAGCACCCAGCTAACTCCAGTGAAAAGCAGAAGTGCTCCTGGGATTCTGGAAGTCAACTGAGAACACTGGAGAAGGCTCCCGCTCCAAGGCAGCGGTGTGCTGCGGGTACCAGCATCGGTTCAGAAGGCTGAGTTCAAGACAGCTCAGAAGAGGAATTTTTTTGGAATTTGTGGGAGGGGGGACTTGGACTATAAAATAATCCACTGAGATCCACTGGAAAGAGTAAATTCGCCTGTCCTTGTACCCCCATCTACAACTTTTGTAGACACTGATGCTCCTTCCTCTGCTCCTAAGACTTTGTCCCCAGCTTTAAAGAGAAAAGAAGTCTGGCCTCAGACTTACCAGAAACACCCAACCATCTGTCCACTCCCGGGTTACAATATACCTTACTTTTTTTCTTTTTTTTAAACCTCTCTCTCTCTTTCTCACCTCCCAACACCAGAGGGAGAAGCAGGGGCTGTTCTTCCCAGCCTTCTGCTCTGCCTCTATACTTTGGAACACAGTCTATGGACCTGTTTTGCAGGCAAACATCTATGTAAGATGCATGCATTTTCTTTCCAGGATGTGGTAGAAGACAGGAGAAAAACAAAACCCAACCAAAACCCCACTAAGACGTTACACTGGAACTGTCTCTCGGAGATCACCCACCGGCCCAGACACTGAGGCTGAACCTTCTCCCAGCCCGATGGGCGCCAGGCACCCGCTCCCCAGTACAGCGCCAGCTCCGTGGCTGCGGGCTGGGCTCCCCTCTCCTTACGCACACCCAGCACGACTCACTGGGAACTGGCCCGCTCACCGCCATGCCATGTTTACAGAAGACCAAGATTCAATTGTTCCGGCCCTCGCTGCAGCGGAGAGTGACATACGCAATGAAAACAAAACTCTTTCCTCCATTTGGAGTTTTTCGGTCGGCTGATTAGTTTTTTTTCAGAGAAAATTTTTTAACAACTTGGAGAACTGTAGTTGTCTGTGCTTAACACTTCTGATCCTGGTTTTAACGGAACCCCAGACCTGAACTGTCTCACCACGAAGGTCTCCAAAGCCACAGAGCAGCAAACGATTTAAACCGCCCAAACCGGCGGCCGTTGAGAGAAGAAGCTCCACCTTTTCGGATGGCTCCTCCTCACATCGCTCCAGTTTGTGCCACCAAAAGCACCTGTGCAGACGCGCAGCGAGGCCGCCCAGGGCAGCTCTGACCTGGAGCAGGTTGGATCCCACGTGCTCTGCGGCGCGCGGGAAAAGCTCTTCGTCCCGCAGCGCTATCAGCTCAAAGTCTTTGTCCAGCTACTCTCTCTGACAACGAAAAGTGTTCTTAACTGCACGAGCAGGGCTCCTTTCAGTGGTAACAAAAAAACCTCAGCGCTATTTTTTGAAATTTTTCCTTCAGGAAAATCGTGCTGCAGTTTAACCCAAACACAGTAACACATTTGTAGGGGTTTTTTTAAAAGGAACTGGACTGGCTGTTAGCAGACACTAAATACCTGGAGGTAACAGACATTTAGTTCCATTCAAGTTTTCAAGTCTTTTCTGTTAGATACAGAATTAATTAGCAGGTCATGTCTATCTGTGGATTTAGAGTGTACCAGGGTTTGTGGGACTCTTTGCTCGTTTGTTCTTAAGACACGTTTCTGCAGGGTTCAGTTGCTGCTATGTCTTTGAACCAAACCGATCATTAGGTACCTTGATTTTAGAAATAGATGCTCAAATTATTTTTTGAATAAGTGATATAAAAATATCAAATCCCTTCAATATAATAAAGAAAACCACCAAATTCTTTCAAGGACTGAAGTTCCACTGTGCACAGTTAAATCCACAGGTTCTCTCAGAGGAGGTCTGGCAAAACATGAATGGTGAGCAGTGCTGTAAAGTTTCTTGGACAAGTCTACAACCACTTCAGTTTCTGATAAGGATTCCTGTACCATGCAAATCTGGGAAACATTCTCACACAAAACATTGAATGCATATGAACTCAGAGAGAAAAAAGAACAATGCAGCTATCTGAATCCTCACCTTAAACATAGATATTTTTCTCAAGCAACAATTTAAGGCCAATTAGGAAAGTGGAACATGACCTTGTAAGAAATACGGGGATCAAATTATGAAAAAAAAAACCTCTTATCTAGTGAAGAAAGATGCATCTATCACGAGCATAATGACCATTTTTTCCTTATGGCACAGATGTTTACTCATGCATACAAGTTACTGACAAGAATTCCAGATGCAAGCCAGCACTAAGGCTAACCTAACAAATCGGAACGTTGTCCTTAAATGCCCACTTTTTTATGTTTAGTGAAGATCAATGACAGAGTCTTTAGACTAAAGGCTAAAACATGACAGAGTAAGATAATGATAAAAAGGTCATGCCTCTTTTTTATACGCTGTCAATTAGAAAAATAACTAATTTAAACTTACTAGTTTATAAAAGTGCCATCCTGACATATGTTATGTTCTCATGTATTTCAGAATTTTGTAATACATCAGAGAGCTACGTGTGAACAGAGTTTAAACACTAAGCTTCGTCAGGCCTCAAAGGAAAACATGACCTTTCTTCCTCCTTGCAGTTTGGTAAAGGTTTCATGGGCCAAAACGTAATCTCCCATCCCATTTTTTATCCTAGCTAGGATTCCCCGTTTTACAGTCGGTCAGCGTTCTGCCTTAGCTCCGAATTGGTATTTACCACCTCTGAAGACAGAGCTCATTCTAGGAGTCAACAGGCCTGTGCCGCGTAGTAACACGACAGCGAAACAGGGACCTTCTTTCTTATGAAGATATACCAGTACAAACACAGCAACCAGCAACAGAACATCTGATAATTTAGATCACCAGTTTAGTTTAATTCTACCTCAGTTCTCCTAGAATGAACTCTGTTGCTTCTCCGCAAGCTCTTTTTTACAGTCGAAACTTTGCCAGCACTGTTCATGTTGGCCAGAAGGTGACAAACTTAACGAAGCGACGGAACAAACGAGAAGGCTTACCAGCAGCAACGACAGCCGGAGGCGGCGAACCTGCCTCGCCACCACTTGTTTGGCTCATGGATGCTACGGATGTTTCTCTGGAAGGTGGTAACTGCAGCTCCTTTGGGAGAAGGTCATAGACAGATTCTGTTGAACAAAGGGAAGACAAAAAGGATTTAATCGAAAATTTATTCATGTTCTCTAAGAGAAAAGAAATAACATTTTTTGCCTAAAAGATATGAATTCTAATCCAACCTTTCAAAACCTTTTGAAAAAGTTACATTAAGCACTTGGAGATCTTACCATCATGGATAAAGTTATCTGAGAAAACAAACCAACCATGAAAACATTAAGATACACATTCTCAAGACCGAAACAAAAGGACACGAATCTGTTCAATCTGAACTTCCACAGAAACTGTACTCATTTAGAATGAAGGGGCAGAGTTGCATGAGAATCAAAGACAAACCTGTTCTCAGGAATTCAAACCGTGCAACTGAATTCCAAAGAGAGACTGATTTAGTACCGTCATCCACGGAATACCCTACAAAGTCTGTCTCCCCAAAAGTGTCAATTCTTGTCCTTCCATTTACTTCCATTTATCTGCAACTTTTTTTTTCCCCTCAAACTCTTCAGTAAAGTCACGCAGCAGCTCTGAAGGAAGTGGTCCCCACTACCAGAATGGCTCGTGCCAGCCCACGGATCTGGCAGATCTGGGCACTAGCACAACCTCCAAGGAATTTTTTGCGACTCCTCTGCTGTGAAACACCTACGGCCACCGCACAGCCCACCCGAGAGAGCTTCAGCAGCCCGGGCACGAGCAGCAAAGCCAACAGCCACACGTTCAACCTGCTTCTCAGCGCCTGCTGACGTCCCAGGCAGGTCACTGCCCCCAGTTGGATGCTGCTGCGGAGTTCCATCAGCAGGAGCTCTCCCCGCACCCACCAAACTGGGATCCCACCGCTGAGTTACTCCGAGACGGCGACCGCTCTGCCCGGCACGGGTGCGCAGCTGCCAGCGCACCTCTGCAGGGGAGGCACCGAAGATGCATCATTTCCAACACGCAACTCGGAGATGTAAACGACCTAGATGGGCAGCTGGAAACTGAAATTCTACACAAAGCTTTATGGAATTTCTTTATATGTATTATTTAGGTGCCCGAGGCAGGTATGGAAAACTCAGTGTGCGTTTTTAAAGTTCTTTTTTTCCCCACTATGAAGCAACAATTATACTTGATTGATCCTCAAGCGAAATATATTTGTGCAGCAACTCTGCAAAAATTAAAAAACTCACAGAGCTGTTAACTAAAAAGCTTTATCTGCACTAGGCCCTGTAAAAATGAAATGTAAGATAAACGCAGAGCTACAGACACTCTCAGTAACACACAATTCTGGTTTTTTTTTTTTAGTTACATCCACTTTTTGGAGAAAGTTTTTCAGTAACATGGCAAACAACAGAACTTTTCTCCTTTTTTTTTTTTTAATTTAAACTGATAATCAAAATAATGGCAACCAGAGGTTGCAATCCAAATCCCAAGCAGAAATCACTGCAGAAGTTTTCTATAACACTTACCCATAATGCTGAGACGATGTACAGGCAAAATATTTTGAGACAGCTCACATTAACTAACCATAAATTCAGTTTTATTCTTTGGAACAATTTGGGGAAAAAAAATATTTACTTGTGCTTACTGACAATCTTAAAAGTTACAAAAGGCAAAGGGAAAAGACAGATGTGTTCACACTTTTGCTCCTGTTTTACTATGAGTAAATTTCCCTCAAAGATGAGTTCCTTTTTTAAATTACCTTTTTCCTCACCTATTACGGCCTGATTTCTCACTCCTCTGAACTAGTGATTTTCAACACCATAAAACTGGCTTTCAAAGTAAAATAAATCAGACCGATTTAAAATTGGTTATGTAAAGATATGTTACAATGATGCTTCTTATTTTATACTTCATTCACTTTTCCCAAAAAAAGGTTAGTTCTTTTTTAGTGATAATGTATTACACTTTAATAAGCAAGAGTATTGTGTACTTTGTGTGTGTGAGCACTTGCGTAGTTTAAACACTCTAAATTTTAGTCTTCATGAACAAAGGTGAGTCATGCCTTTATTTTTTACCTTACAATTTTTACTTAAGTTGCATGTGCATACAGACTTGAATCCAATTCAAACATTAAAAACCAAACTGAAGTGCATTTAAATCTGTTTCTAGCCACATAGCATCTCCTTAGACCTGCTGTGCCAGTGAGGGGGAAGAAAGGGGGCTATCAAGGCACAGTTCTATTTTAAGATGGGAAGGGAGTGCAGAAAGTACAAGGAAAAAATCCATTGAATAAATAATCCAAAAGAAGTTATACCGACATTTGAACAAAAACGTCTGAGGAAAGTGAAGGAAGTAGAGAATTTTTTTTTTAATTGGATCGAATATACTTCTGCCAGTGAACCACAAGTGCTAAATTCATGGGAGAGATGCAGTAGGAATTAATTCTTAGAAGAGCAGGAACAAACAGGGCACTAGGAGATCAACTGTTACCTGCTCTGCCTCGGGTAGAAAAATTTAAATATCTACCAGTCAAGTTCTGGCTGGACCCTCCACTGATGAAGAGCAGAGAGGTTGTGCGTTACCTGGCTTGCAAAAAAGGAGCACATTTGATCTTCTAATGGCATTTAAGACTCTACACAGTTGTATTCACAGCTTTAACAACAGGGAGGACAGTGGAAAATCCAGAAATGGGAAGCCAAGAAGCTGGGTTCCTACTTCACAGAGTCACCATCAGGCAGTTTCTGCTCCAGCACTACAAGGACAACACAACTTACCAACAGATGCCATCGTAAATTCGCATCTGGCTTAATAGACGGACGCGTTGGAGCAAGAACCCTACTAACTACTTCCTCTGCTACCAGGGATTTTCAACCTCACTTCTCCTCTTTCTTCCCTAACCTGTCAAGTCAGTCTTCAGCTACAAAGCGAAGGGACACAGGATGACAGAACGAAACGTGTTTGCACCTTTCCAACAACAAGCCAGTGTAACTCACACCCCCGGAGCCACATCACACTCTACGACGAGCACAGAAACGCAGCCAGCGCTGCGTATTTTGGAGACATTTGTTATTTGTCATGCTGCATTCTGAGAAAGCTTCTGTGAACCACAAAATCCCAAGCAGTTTTCAGAGAAAATGTTTACTTATTTCCACGTCGAATGGCTCCTATAGGCTTGGCCGCTGGCATAGCTGTCACTACACCAAAACATTCTTCAAATAAAACGTGGCATTTGGAAACCACAAGACGTGTGTGGGTCTATTTTCTGCTGAACTACAAATTTTCTTCAAGATGAGTATCTTAAGAGACTAAAGAATGAAAAAGGCAGATTTTATCCCAACGATGAAAAGCACAAAAACCAGACAGTTACAACGTGAAGAGGGTACTTCCCCACCTGACATCCCTGTGCCTCCCAGTGTTATTGCCCTCATGGGCAGCAGTTTGTGCCCCAGCTCCAGACAGCAGCCCCAGTCAACCAGCACCAGCCTCTACTCTGCCTGGCACTGGGACTCCTGCCTACATGGGGTGAGTATGACCCAAAAAACTGGCCCCCGGCAGCCGTTCGGTGCTGGGGCAGCTGCTGCGCTGCGCTCACTGCCCACGGCTTTCGCCTCTGGAAGGGCAGCAGCAATATTTAAAGCTGCTCAATATTCTCCTACACCTCAGGCACGGGAAGTAACTCGCCGAGAATTTCTGTTCTGCAAAACGTTCACTGACGAGCTTCGAAACGAGGGATCGTAACGCAGCGTGTGTGTCTGCACGTGAGCAGAGAAACCTTTATGGGGTTTTACACACATGCATACATTTTCATTCCTTTCTGTCACTTCTCAAGAAATCGTCTTTGAGGAGAGAGTCGCTCACTATCGTAGTTCTGTCGTGACTCATAAGATATTTGGTGTTGACTACAAAGCCTCATTTCCAAAAGCTGAGCTACCAGGTAAGAGTCAGCTTTTCTCTTTGGGTTGGTTGTTGTTTTTTTTTTCTGTTCAAGACATTTATTTTTAACTCTCAAACATGACGAAGGCTCTGTCAAATTCGCTGCTTTGAAGAGATGCTCAAATCCAAAACTGCCACAGCATTTTTTTTCTCAGGGAAAACACAATTTTAGCAGTAATCCACAACAAGCACAATTATAATCTTTGTGAATAATTCCAGTATGACAAAAAGAGGGAGGGAAAAGCTAGCATTAGACTTGAAGCACATTCCCAAAGATCACAAGACCATTTAGAGCAAATCTTCCATTTCATGCTTCATTGAGAAGAGACCAAACTAACTGAAACATGGTCTAAAATACGACACTCAGTTTTTATCCCAACGCACTTGGACACCACACCTAATGTTGAGGATGCGCCCTACACTCAGAAAAGAAGTTGGCATTAGCCGTGACAGCTGTAAACTGAGAGGAGGGAAGGGAATCCTGCTTGGGAGTCACTGCGCGGTGCAGCCACGAGAACACAGCTGTGGTGGGAGAGGAGGACAAACAGCACCACGGCGGTTCCCAACAGACAGCACGGCCCTGGCCACCACCACTGCCTCCCCAGCTCTCCCAGGGCTGTCTCCCCCTCTGCCCCTACTGCTCCCTGTAACTTCCCTCCCCTCCCAGCAGTAAGAGAAACTGCACAACGTCTCGAACAGGAGGGAAGGAAAACACAGGAGGTCCACTGGGTGACACCAGAGGAGGAGGAGAGATCAAAACCACGGGATTAGCACAGCGCAGGAAAGCCATGGACCTGTTGGAGCAGGTCCAGAGGCCACAAAAACGGTCAGAGGGCTGCAGCACCTCTACTTTGAAGCCAGGCTGGGAGTTGGGGCTGTTCACCCTGGGGAAGAGAAAGCTCTGGAGAGACTTTCCTGAGGTCTTGCAACACTTCAAGGAGGCTTGGAAGAAAAATGGCAACAGATGTTTTAGCAGGGTCTGTGGCGACAGGACAAGAAGTAATGGTTTTACACTAAAAGAGGGGAGATTCGGACTAGATATAAGGAAAAAATTGGTATGCCGAGAGTGGTGAAACACTGGCACAGCTTGCCCAGAGAGGTGGCAGATGCCCCAGGCTGGACAGGGCTCTGAGCAACCTCATCTAGCTGGAGATGTCCCTGCTCGTGGCAGGGGCTGC